CCACTGCTTCATCTTCTGCCTCACCATCCTCCTCTTCCTGCTCTATCACCTTCCATGTGTCCGTCAAGATCCACTCCTTCTCTTGTCTCGTCTCGTCTTGTCTTGCTTCCTCTTCCTTTCTAATACAGTTATGCAGGTTTCTTTACACATAGCTTTCAAACAATTCTAGTGTTCATTCACACAGGCTTCTTCAGGCATGTTGATCGATATCTCCCATTTTGTCTTCATGGCTGACTGATGTGAAGATGTCCTTTGTAGTTTCGTCACTCAGTTCAGTCACTGTTCTGGGTCTTCAACTTGAACTGTGGTCAATCACCAACTTCTTTCATGGCATTCAACTTGAGTTCAAAGGTTCCTTGCACTAGACAGTGAGTGGTGTGAACCTACATCTCCTACCCTTCTCGATCTCGTCTTGCCTCCACTAGGCTGACTGCGTCTCCACTTTCTTCACATTGAGATGAAGTCGATCTCAAGTGGATTTTTAGTGTGTCCATATGGTGTCTGATGAAATCAAATCCATGTCACTGCTTCGTGAATATCCTTGTGTTTCTACACACTACCTCACCTCCAATCCCCAAATCGTTGAATGCACAGAAATCTGCAAACATTCTCCATTCTCACTCATCATTTCACCGAGTGCTTCTCCACCCATGATGAGTTCTCTTCATGTGTTGTCCACTCCGAGTTTGGTATTCATGTCACCTCACCCATTAGAATTTTGAGTTCTCCGTCGCCGTCTGGGGTCTTGTCAAGTACTTATTGCAGTTGTCTGTAGAATTCCCCCTTCTTCTCTTCATCTGCATTATTTGTAGGTGTGTAGTGCAATGTGGCATTGTATGATTATAACTTTCCTTCCTTTTGGGTTGAGTCCATCTTGCTGTCATGATCCTGATCCTGGAGGAGACTGGTTCCCACTGCACGAGAGCCTTCGATACTCTCGGGGACATCATGAAAGCCACTCCAAAACTCAGTGTGCTCATGGCTGTCGTCTGGGTGACAATATCGCAGTAGATTATTGACTCTCCAGTTGACAGTTTGGAGAGTCCACTTACATTCCATCTGCTCATCCCTCACAGATTCCTACCACTTCTGTGCAGTCTTGCCAACCAGGTTCAAACATATTGCGGACATTCCATGTCCCCATCATTACTTTCACTTTCATCGGGGAGAGAAGATAAATCGGCCAACTGGCTTCCTGAAGGCTTTCACCATCCGGCGTCATTTCGTCTCTACGATCCTAGTGAGGAATAAGTTTGTTTTTATTTTTTATATTTCCTTTGTGTTTTGAAGTTTCTGTAGCGGTTGGATTGGTTTTAGGGGGTAGGGTTGCTAGCCGTATGCCCAACCTTCCCTCTTTATCCGGGCTTAGGACTGGCTAGTAACTAGTGAACTAGTTACCTAAGCGAGATTGTTAGGGATGCATATATATATCTTATATTACATACTTAGAATCTGTATATATTTGAACTGCTTTTATTAGGCTCCTTTTCCCGTATATGGGTTACATTTCATGTAACCCGTTGGCGTTTCTTGTCTTTCGAGGTTACTGTAAACTCTATAAATGCGGCCATTCTCACTAATAAACGTTTACAGTTCGAGATACTATAAACTCGTTTGATTACTCTTTGAGAATCACTCGAGTTGAACCATTTCAACACTCAATTATCAATCGTTAACTATTATCGTTCGTTCTCATAACATTTTGAAATAAACAAGAATATGGGTAGAGAAAGAATGATCAAATGTTCAAGATTTTGAGGATAGTGATCAACTTTGTAATATATCAGACAAGTTACGTAATCACTGATCGCTAACATTAAGAGCTTTATTTAAACCTTTACAGTTCATTCAGACTACTAGCTAAAGGTTTAACAAATTATTGTAACAACTCAGTCTGGGTGTTGTTAGCTTATTTCCAATTTAATATAAATCTAGACATAACCCAGCATATCAAGTAATGTGTTTACCCAAAATACATAGGATGTGTAAACATTGAACGATAAACTGTATAATGCTAACTATACACAACATGGAAAGTAAACATACTTTCAACACAATGACAAAGATACAAAACTTTATGTTATGATTACCTTGTTACATGGATTTTAATATAAATCAAGTTAAGTAGTACAATGCAAAAAGTTTTGTGATGACAAAACTATTTTGCGACGTTTTTGAAAATGTAAACGGAATTTTAAAAAATAATTCAGGTGACCAGTTAGCGAATTCAGTGTCAATAAATAAACTATACTCAGTGATATGGCAAGGATATTGATTCAGCAAAAACCAGTGAAGGTCTTTTGGATTTTAGTCAATATAAAAATCAAAATCCTGTGAGTAATCAGGTCTTGTAGGCCTCTCTTGGTAGAGCACAAAGTCGGAAACCCGGTTGCCGCTGGTTCAAATCCCGCTGCGAACTAAATTTTCATCTCACCTTGAATCAACACCCAGCATCAGTACAAGTCTGACGAACTATGGTCATATGGTCAAACTGATAATCAATATGATGCTCCCCCTCTCTAATTCAAGTAAATTTGAATTATTGGAATGAAAAGTCCTGACTGGGTAGTCTGAGAGTACAATCAAGGGATAGTAACGTGTCCTGAATATTCACATGACAATCAGGCAAACCCCTTGGTGATTGAAGTGAAATAAAAATCTGGTCAGCAATCGCGCTTCGTAACTCAGTTAGCAGAGCACGGGGCTGAAAACCCGGCGGTCTCTGGTACGAATCCTAACGCCTATAGTTATCACCCAGCATCAATATACTACACGCCTAACCAAAATGCATACATCAGAACAAGGAGATAATAAGAACTGAACAGTTCCAACTATTATTGCTGTGGATGCTCAGAGGCATAACAATCCTTACCACATTTAGTGGCCGTGATAAGCTGATTCGTCGATAGTGGTAACCCAACCATATTAAACTATCCTCTAAATTCTCTATCTACCAACACCGGCAATCCTCTATGGGTAATATATGTCCTACTAATGTGGTTATCGAATTCCTCATGATGTGGCTACTTCGAAGGTGAAACAGTACATAATTGTAACAAATGATAGATTTGACAAGCATTGAAGAACTCCGTCGTTTAAAACAACCATGTACACAATCAATTTCCCATTGGATGAGTGAATCTAAGTAGGACATCGTACAGTGCATCTATTCATCCACTAGCTCCCCCCCCCGTCACAAATTCACAAGGAAAAGAAAACTGACACCAAACAAATCCAGTAGACATCAGAAAATGACTATAATTTCGCAGTTTTGCACCTCAGTTGACCTACAGTATGTGATATGCCTTCAGTCAACAATTTTCACAACTGCTCTGTCTGGGAAAATGAAGCTGTATCCAGGGGAACTGTGGTTCATTGATATAGAGAGATAACTTTTAATCAATAGTCACGAGTTCAAACACCGTTCCACCTACCGAGATTTGGGTAGCCAAGTAGTATCATTAGCCCTAACACATTAGGAATCGCTCATTGCCTATTGCACGAATGTACACAACGTTGCTAAGTACATTTAGATTTCGCATCCAGGACATTAAAGAACGCACCTCACAAGTTTAGTGATGCTTCACTGTGACATGAAAAACAATTGTGGATGTAAACACTTCAAATTACGTGCTTTTTAAAAAATCCTGTTATAGAGGACGATTTAGAATTTAAGAGAAGCAAAGTTAGCAACTCACAACTATACCATCAAAACAAATATGCCCTATAAGCAATCACAAGCCAGCTTAGATGAAAAATAGTGTATTGCTTGTCATAGTTTTTAGACGAGTAAAAAGTATTGGAATAAGGGACACCATGTAAACAGAACAACAACGGAAAGGCTGCAAAGGTAAGTGTAGTGACAACAGTAACAGTAATGTGGAAATAGAAAGAACACTATTAAGACGACAGTGTATAGATTAACAAAAACTCTAATTGTTCAAAGTAAAATGAAATAACAAGTATGAGTTATGATGACGAGGTGTTAAACTTGTCAACCAATTTTCAAATATCAACTTCTTGTTTCGTAGCATGCTGCAATAGTCCTTATCGCAACAAACTCGCGACCCCACCATGTAATTTACCTCACTAACATCAACACACATATGTCGATATATGGTGCTCGAGATCCTTCGAGTGCTCCATTGAATAAAAGCTTCTAACCTCATACTGTACACCTTCGATGGTCATTTGAGAGAAGTGGCCGACATAATCTGTCCACTCACTAACATGAATATGTGCATGATTGAGAACCAGCCTTGTAATGTCTTGAGATGGATAGGCGTGGATGTTTATAACATCCTACTACTTTATGTTTTAAGTACCAGGTGCCTCTTATCATTTCTACGGTGAATTTTCGATCTGGAAAACCCATCAATCCCTGACGTTTCGAGAGGGAACCATTGCCTGTGGAAAGAGCCCAATATGGACTGGCGGTTACTTGACATAGTTTAGATTTTACAGACTATAGCGTAGTGTTAGCAAATTAGTGCTCCAAGAAGTCATTCATTCAGTTGTGTCTCTACTGTTTAGGACTTCTGAAGGATGAATTTTTATAATTGATAGATAAGTGTCTACACAATCTTACAGTAGGGCTGTGGTTCGGTGTTTTAGGCGTTCGAGTTACAACCAGCAGGTTACGCTGTCCAACCCTACCCCACCATACAAGGTTTGGGCAGCCAGACAGTACCACTGGCTGTTACACAATAGGTCTGGTTCGTTGTCTAATTCACATGGTTGCTGAGATGCAATTTGATCTATTTCAGCTTGCAGTGCGATGGATTACTTAGACAATAGATAGACATGAAGACGGTCTAACACCAGATATTCACCTTGAATTCATAGATCACTTATAATCGGGAAGTCTAAAAACCCACTCAATTTGTATTGCTGAAGACCATTTACCGACACACAGGAGTCAAAACCAATTAAACTAGGTAGAAAATTTATGGGTAACCGAATATAACTATAACATTTACATCACTAACAAGAGTACTTACTTTTCAAATAAAACATCCTGATTTTTACGGACAGTATATTCTCGTGGGGATTTACATGCAGTGGTGTCACTGCACCAGACAAACCACGGAGGAATATTAACATCCTGTATCAGAAAATGACATAAAAGACCAGCGTCCGTACACCGAACAAAGAAAACTTTTCTGTGACTCGGAAATCAGATGCTTCATCTTGTTCAAATAAACAACATTTCAAGGACGAACTGTCAGCCAATCATGTAAAGATTTATGACCTGCATAAAAAATAAAGAATAACAAATTAACGAATAATAATCTGTCTAATCCAATAGCCAATAAAATAATAAAACAATTTAGTCAACATAATCATCATAAATTATTGACCAATCAAAGTAACAGAATAAACCACCCACGTAGCCTAGTCAGTCTGGTCTGATAGGTTACATGTGGAAGTGAAAACAGACGGTTAGAAGAAAGTCTGAATGAAGTATAACAACCAGATCTCTTCGTGGCTTGATTTTATTGGTTGTCAGATCGACACCTGAATCCCTGGAGAACAGTTTGCTGCTACAACTTCCTCTTGAGTATACACAGGTTTGGAAAAAGTAATAACAATCGAAATGCATTGTACCACCATAACTGGTTCACTACATAGTATTTGTTAAATGAGTTGGTTTTTCACAGTTGTAGTATTTATTCATGTAATCAAGTTGAAATTTATCGAGATATTAAGCTCAAAACGTTTGTTTTTAAAGGTGAAAAGTTGCCTGGGTACCAACGTGTAATTTTCCGCAAATAAGGGCTTCTAGATTGCTGTTATTACAATTACTTTTGGTTTTACTTTTAATGCATAATACTACTGAGAACAACTCAATTAAAGGCTGCACCAATCACTGGTGCACAACACACCTCCTACCCCTACGTTTGAAAGATACTGTCTCCGTTATACCCTTGTTGTCTATGTGTATGCACTTGTGTGGAACACATTATGAAAAGTCTCTCAAAAGATGCGGAAGAATATCACCGTGCGTGGTTAGCTAAGGATGAAATGCCGACTGTTATAAGCTATGCTCAGTCATATTTAATTGATACTTGTCACATGGTGGATAAGACCTGCCATTTCGATAAGTTACACGATATCGAACCGCTTCCCGGCAGTCAAAATCATGAAGTCTTCTTATAGTTGTACACAGGTGGAATTTTTGTAGGGATGGTTTCGCAACCAACTATTACATTTATTAATTTTTCTTGATGTATTCGTAATTCCCCATTGTCGTTACTGGATAGAATTGTTCAACTTCTCTTGGTATGTGGGCTTTCATGTGGATGCCTCGATATTACCTGAGTGCTTATCATGGTAATTTACTTCGCTGTGGTTAGAAGAAGAGTCCAGTATGCGCGTTTCGTCCTACTTGTGACTCGTCAGATGGATGTTCAGGCGTCCCAGTGAGGGATGTTGTTCACCACTGAGACTCAAGCCACGTACACATCATTTCAAACTCCACAGCAGGCCATTCTGAACATCCGAATTAACCATCATCACGAATAAATATTCAGGCAATATCGAGGCATCCGCATAGAAACCCATATGACAACATAGGTCGAACAATTCGATCCAGCAAAATACCGGAGAATTAAAAGAACATCAACAAAAAGCTATGACTAAAACCCGTTGTACAAGACGTGGCTACTGGATAACGCTTTGGGGTTTGAAGCAATGGGTACGAGCTTCGAGTCTAAGTGGGAACAAAACCACTCCTCACCGGGGTGCAGGAGAATCCAGCCGATGAGTCCAAAATACGACGAAACACGTGTCCTAGATACTTCTGCAAGCCACAACCAAGTAAAATACCGCAACAACTCTTACATTGTCTTTCTCTGGGTATTCTTATAAAATTCAGTCAATAAAAATGTTTGGGACATGCATATTTGTATAATAGGTGGAGGAGGGTTTCGAACCCATGATCATTGGATGAAAGTCGACTCATTTTCACAAATGCATGAGTCAACAAGATAATAACGATGATATTGGTTGTTTCATTGAATCATTGTGGCGATAACAGTTTGCACACCTCAATGGAAACGAGTTGAGCCCTTCCAAACAGTGCACATAGATAAGTTTAAAATGCAGATGAAAAAATAGTATAGGGCTGAAAAGCCAACAAAATGGAAATTACTCTGTAAGTCCAAAGTAGAAATCTATGAATATTAGGCAAGACTATTCTGCATGTTATATGTCACATCATATAGAAAAAGAAGTCCCGAGTGAACACAAAATAAGAATATGGAGTGCCAGGGTAAAGTTGTACTAATCCAAAAGAACGAAACAAGGAGCTAGACAAAATGTGCACAAAATAATAATAATCACGATAATGATGACTTTGATTGAGGCACATCCGTGTTCAACCATTTGTCTGTTACAGCAATGATGGGCAGTGGCTGGAAGTGGAATCTAGGATGCGCACACCGCCCTATTCGGGGTTCGTCAGCTGAATGTACCTGCCTCCCAGTGAGTGATGTTGTTCCCACCGGGACTCGGACTTGGGAGCGATCGCTTCTGACGCCAGACAGTTATCCACTACACCACCGAGCCACGATAGCCACTTCTTGAGCGACGGGTATAGGTTTAGTGTTACTGCTTGTATTACACCGTCGTTGATTGGACCAAAGTAATCAGTCTCTGTTGGCATATGGGCTGCTGTGTGGATGCCTCGATATTGCCTGTCTTTTAACTATGTATAGTAATGATGGGCAGTGGCTGGCAGTGGAATCCAGGATGCACATTTCGTCCTATTTGGTACTCGTTTGAAGCGATCGCCCCCGAGTTCGAGTCCCAGTGGAAAAACATCACTCACTGGGAGGCAGGTACATCCAGCTGACGAGTCCCAAATAGGACGAAATGTGCATCCTGGATTCCACTGCCCATCATTGCTATACACAGTTAGAAGATAGGCAATATCTAGGCATCCGCATAGAACGCCATATGCCAACAGAGACTAGTCAATTCGGTCCAGTCAACGACGGTGTAATACAAGCAATAACACTAAATTTTTCTGTTATGTTGAACTTTGGTCACTGAATCCCTTTCTTATTTTTGTATCAGTAGGATGCTTCTTTGTTCAGAGTCCGCTACCACTTCTTGTGGTTTGCCTGAGTTACTTTTCTGTCAACTTTATCAATTTCATGATATGACGCTTGAGAAATTTATGAAGAAATCTCATTTGCACTTCATTTCTTTTGATTGTTACTCTGAACTGGATATCGGTGAATTTTCCAACCCGAGGAACGCAAAATGAACTAAAATTCATGATTATAGATAATAATGTGAGGAATATAAGATAAGTAAGCAAACTTACTGCACTGAAATACTTTCGATATTAACGATAAACAGTAGGTAGCAGTAAGATCCATCATTCATGTTTCATCCAACTGAAGTCTTCTATTATCGTTATACCTCCTTCCCAATGCATGATTTTTTTCGAAACTTACATTCAAACCAAGCAGCCCTGTTCTCGAACACCAGAGCATTCGTCACTCCTTGTACTTCTATTTTGTTGATTGTTTGTCCTCAGTAGCTTATACTTCATCCAGGAGAAGATTAATTCACCTGGCCTATGTCTGTAAAAGTGTCTTTCATTCAGTAAAAATATAGTAATTACAATTGTCATACATTAAAAGAACTTCTGTCGATCACTTCAACGAAACCTAAATCTTTACGACACTATTTCTAGTGCGTATCAGCAAAAATTAGTAGTAGAAACAGATCGTCTCAGTAACTGATTCCTACTGGTTTCGTGTACAATCCTAATTTTATTACTATTATGATCACTGATCATGTGATTAGGCTAGAATAACTTTTTATCTACTACGGCCAGCTCAATCTTCAGCAAATAATGTAAGAAACTAAGTGCGTAGGTGGTATGATCGATATTCTCAAACTGGTCAACAATCAGCCAATCAGCAATCAAACAGGTGTGGAGGTGATTGGACATTTATAGTCAAACTGTGAACAACCTACTAAAATTCATATGTATTGATTAAAATGCTAGTCGGAATAAACATGTACGAATGATATGATTTTCGAGATTATTAAATCCTAACCAAATGAAAAGGTAACCAAGATGATTTTTTTTTCTCTCCCAAGCTGCCATCAGTAAAACATACTATAAAGTCGGGGTTCAGATAATTAAAAATTCAAACCTACATACATTAAACTCACCTGGTTAACTAATCCACTAGTTACTAGCCAGCCATAAGCCCGGATAAAGAGGGAAGGTTGGGCATACGGCTAGCAACCCTACCCCCTAAAACCAATCCAACCGCTACAGAAACTTCAAAACACAAAGGAAATATAAAAAATAAAAACAAACTTATTCCTCACTAGGATCGTAGAGACGAAATGACGCCGGATGGTGAAAGCCTTCAGGAAGCCAGTTGGCCGATTTATCTTCTCTCCCCGATGAAAGTGAAAGTAATGATGGGGACATGGAATGTCCGCAATATGTTTGAACCTGGTTGGCAAGACTGCACAGAAGTGGTAGGAATCTGTGAGGGATGAGCAGATGGAATGTAAGTGGACTCTCCAAACTGTCAACTGGAGAGTCAATAATCTACTGCGATATTGTCACCCAGACGACAGCCATGAGCACACTGAGTTTTGGAGTGGCTTTCATGATGTCCCCGAGAGTATCGAAGGCTCTCGTGCAGTGGGAACCAGTCTCCTCCAGGATCAGGATCATGACAGCAAGATGGACTCAACCCAAAAGGAAGGAAAGTTATAATCATACAATGCCACATTGCACTACACACCTACAAATAATGCAGATGAAGAGAAGAAGGGGGAATTCTACAGACAACTGCAATAAGTACTTGACAAGACCCAGACGGCGACGGTGAACTCAAAATTCTAATGGGTGAGGTGACATGAATACCAAACTCGGAGTGGACAACACATGAAGAGAACTCATCATGGGTGGAGAAGCACTCGGTGAAATGATGAGTGAGAATGGAGAATGTTTGCAGATTTCTGTGCATTCAACGATTTGGGGATTGGAGGTGAGGTAGTGTGTAGAAACACAAGGATATTCACGAAGCAGTGACATGGATTTGATTTCATCAGACACCATATGGACACACTAAAAATCCACTTGAGATCGACTTCATCTCAATGTGAAGAAAGTGGAGACGCAGTCAGCCTAGTGGAGGCAAGACGAGATCGAGAAGGGTAGGAGATGTAGGTTCACACCACTCACTGTCTAGTGCAAGGAACCTTTGAACTCAAGTTGAATGCCATGAAAGAAGTTGGTGATTGACCACAGTTCAAGTTGAAGACCCAGAACAGTGACTGAACTGAGTGACGAAACTACAAAGGACATCTTCACATCAGTCAGCCATGAAGACAAAATGGGAGATATCGATCAACATGCCTGAAGAAGCCTGTGTGAATGAACACTAGAATTGTTTGAAAGCTATGTGTAAAGAAACCTGCATAACTGTATTAGAAAGGAAGAGGAAGCAAGACAAGACGAGACGAGACAAGAGAAGGAGTGGATCTTGACGGACACATGGAAGGTGATAGAGCAGGAAGAGGAGGATGGTGAGGCAGAAGATGAAGCAGTGGAGTGCAGTGCAGTGCAGTGCAGTGGAGGGATGAACAACGAGAAGAGGAAGTGATTACAAGGTATAAAAAACTGTTGACAAAGAAGTGAAGAAGAGTGCACGGAAAGACAAAAGACACTTCTACGACACATTGGCAAGTGAAGCAGAACAGGCTGCCGGCTGGTAGGAGAGACGGAGACCTGACAACATTGTATCGAGTAGCCAGGTAGTAATCTGAGAGGGAAGAGATCAACTCAGTTGAAAGCAATGAGAGATAGTGATGGAGAGCTAGTGAGGTGAGAGGGGAGACAAAGGAAACGATGGTCTGACCACTTGAATCGACCAACACCTGCAACTGGTTGAGAAATAGCACGAGCTGCCCATCCACAGAACAACGAATGAACATAAGCTCTCCGATGAAAGTCTAAGTCTTGAAGGCCATAAAGCTAGTGAAATGCGGGGAAGCAGCAGCAGCAGTAGCAGCAGATGGAATTGCTCCAGAAGCACTGAGGAGAGATGCAGAGACAAGAGTAGCGAACATGCTCACAACACTACTGCAGAAGATGTGCAAGGAAGGAAGGAAAGGAGGAGGGAAGAGAGGGAGGGAGGAAAGGTACCTTCTGATTGATTGGAAGGAGTGCTACCTTGTCAAACTTCCAAAGGAGGGAGATCTAAGTCTTTGCAAAAACAAGAATTGGAGCGAAATCATTTTCCACTGCTGTCCACCTTAAACAAAATGTTAAGCCGCATCACCGTGGAGAGACTAAAGGATGCGCTGGATTGAAACCCACGACCCGAACAGGCTGGATTCAGGAAGAATAAATCATGTTGGGACCAAATTGCAAGTCTGCGCTACACTACGCATCATCATAGAACAGAGTATAGAATTGTAGTCAACTCAACTCTATCTCATCGATTGTGAAAGGGCTTTGGACATGGTCGACCGAGCAGTAATTTGGCAGGCACCTGGTTCAACACTTCGGTTTTAGTGCCACAAATCTTTATCAACCTCATTCAAGAGTTATGTGAAGACGCCACATGCTGAGTGATTCACAATGGAAAGATCAGCTCATTGATGCCTTTGAAGTGAAGATAGGAGTAAGACAAGGTGGTTGACGCCTACTACCACACATGACATTCATGATTGTGGTCTACTGGACTGGGTCACGCAGCAAACAGTGAACAGCAAGAAGAGGGGATACGCTGGAACGATGAAAAAAACCTATAAGATTTGGATTTCGCCTATGACTTGCTTTTAATGTCTCACAAACTCGAAGATCTACAGGCAAATACTAAAACGTCGACAGAAGAGGCACTGCATGGCAGGGCAGCGAAGATGGGACTTCAGGTGAATGAGAGAAGATGGAGGTGATGATGATACCCAACTTACACCACCAACATCAACGACAAGCTGCTATCACCATCAACGGGAGAAACTTAATGAAGCAGCCTCTTTCACCTATCTAGGCAGCACTGTTTCAACTGCAGGCGGCACTGGCGCAGATGAAGGCGTCAAAGCCCACCAGGATCGGAAAGACAGCAAGACAGGAGTTCATTAATCTGAAACCAGTGTGGAGATCTTCTGCACCGAGCATAAAGCATGAACAAGAATCGGATTTTCAATACTATTTCAACCAAGTCAGTGCTTCTTTATGGTTCAGAGACTTGGCGCGTTAAAAAAGTGATTTCCAACAAACTACAGATATTCATCAGCAATCGCCTACGCTCTTTACTGAAGATCAGATGGCCAGAATAATAAGAACAGGCAACAATGGACTCTGGCAACGGACCAACCAAGAACCTATTACCCAACAAATATGCAATGGAAGGAAGTGGAGATGGATTGGGCATACACTGAGAAGGCCGATTGGGGACATCACGCGTCAGGTCAGGCCCTCCAGTGGAAGCCAAAGGGAAACGACCAGTTGGGCGTCCAAGGGGAGAGTGACATGGAGGAGATGGTGTGAGGAAAAAATGAGAGCTTATGGGCAGTCGTGGAGAGAGGTTCAGGGTGCAATGGCTATCTAGTAGTGAGGTCCTATGTTCCACTAGGAACCCAAGGGAAAATTAAAGGTAATAAAAGTAATGTGTAAATACATTGGAAAGTAACTTCAGGGAATAGATTGATATGTCAGAAGATTTGAGTGAATAAAGGTCGAAGTATAAGACACATATTATAGTCTGTCAATTATAACAAAAAGATTAACATGTCGAACCGAATTACCGTCTAGTAGTTATTAGTGAAATGCTTCAAGACGTGGATTCGGAAATTCTAACGAGAATCCGTGACATTTGTGATGAACCAAATTGAACATGAAGACAAATCCACATGGATAGCATCATCGGTATGAAGGTCATGCTATATCATGAATTGATGATAGTAAGAAAATACGGACCATTAGATTCCGACTGAGTAAATCAATGGTGATGTGATCGCCGTGAAAGCTGAAATTTTTCGGTTCAACCCCGAGCAGGCAGTGTCATGGATGTACACTGCTGAGGAGTTCCATCCAAGGACGAGGCAGTTGTCCAATACTCCTAGGCAATCAATAATTCTTCAGTTAAGGTGTGTTCATGATAAATATCAACTTAAAATCAATAAATCAATCACTCCAAACATCCAACTATTGAATATGATTAAACCTACTCATTTTCAATGCATAATCTGGTGAATAATGTAGGTTATACAGTTTCCAATATTCAGAGTTTAATACGATTTAGAAGAATAAATGGAAGTATGTGGATAGGGGTAATAAACCAGTCAATGTGAAGTTATTCATTGTCTTTATTTCGTCTTTCCTTAGAAACATAAGAAGGTACTTCGACGCTTATAAAAATTGTTATCTACATGA